TTACTGCTTACCATGAACACTGCCTTAACGCGATGTGTATTCTCATAACATATCTCTATAATTGTCTGACATCGTCGTGTACCCTGTACTTATAGTATATTTAAAGGTTGATGATGTTTACCATTAGAATTGATGCTCTGGCATATAGCTGGTGTAAGACGTGGTCCTTTCAGCCATGGCTGCTTCACTTTGGTATTGTGATAAGCTTCTTCGCGACAAGGTTTCATAGGAGGCGCTCTGATCCCTAATTCAAAAGTCACACTTCAAACAAAAGGTCTGAAAAATATTCGCGCAAAACATCGTCGGGGAGCCGCGATACATCATTAGTGGAGTGGGTGTGACCCGGCACAGCATAGCCCAGGTTCTCCTGTAGTCGGGAGAGTGTCTTTAATTACGAGAGTGAGGGCGTTGCTTGGCTAGTTACGTGATTTCGTCAGGCTTGTAATGTTTATTTACAGGAAATATGACAAATGACTAGCCGTGGGCTGGTTTTGTCGGCGCTTGATGAATTGCGGACTCGCTGATGCCACCGGCATGCAAGCGAGACCTTAGAAGCAGGGAACCTCATGGATGTAATTGCTGCTGATCACACCAAACTGAACCGGTAACTTCTTGTCGCTGGTAAGCTGAATTCGTGCGGCGTGCTGCTATTCCTGTCCCTCGTGTCCCGTCACCGTACCCTCCTCGTCTCCCCCATCACACCCTCCCTCGTGTTCGGCCGCCGTACCCTCCGTCGGCAGTATATCACACTTGGAACGAAACTACTAGCCGGGCAGGCATCGCGGGCTGGAGAAATCGCACAGCTGTAGGGTAGCCGCGAAGCACGTGCTGCACGTCGGCGCCGGTCGCCGAGCCCGGCGGGCTTTGCTGACGCCACCGACACTCGCAGACGCCGCCGGCCGGGGCGGGGCAGGCCAGACGAGCACCCTTCTGCCATCTAGCGGCGGGCGCGGCGTTCGCTTGGGGCCGCCTGGCCTCGGGCCAAGTCGGCAGCCGCGAGCGAGAGGGAGGGGCGTCACGCATGGTGAGCCGAGCGCGCGTGCCCCGCGCGCTGCCCAGTTGGCAGCCGGCTGGCGCGCTGCCGGCGGCTGCCAGCCAGAATAGCCGGCGCCGCGCGCGTCAGGGGGTCATGGGTGCCGGCCACCGGCTGCGTGGAGTGCCGGCACGGCCGGAGTCGGCTGCACGAGGCGTGGTCAGACCAGTCTCTTGAGAAGGAATGTTTCGTTTGTGTCTAGTTTCTTGCCTGTCTCGTGGCATGACGATATGTCGGAAACATTTAGTGCAAGCTATCAATAGAACTGAGAGGCCTCTTTTTAGGCATACCGGAGCGTCCTAACCGAATAAGAGCACTGACGTCACCAGTACGAAGACACTAGCATGCGTTGCTGTCGTCAGTATGGACAATGGAATGCGTTTCTTCTGTGGGCTGTTCCCATCATGCGGTGTTGTTTGACAGCACCCTTACGCACGAAAGTGCGTGGTTACGTTGCTCCTCACACACTCACTATATTGTCCTGGTGCGCAATGTAACCACCGCGGTTGGCGCGCCCTTTCACCCCCAATCAATAACAACCCTTAACTCTATATGATCACGTTACCACGAATCAGCGTCTAATGCACTGCGCTTGCGATCAGTGGAAATGATGGCAGGGTTGCCACACGTGGGCGGGCGGTGAGGTGAGGCGGGGCCGGCGCACTGCGCCAGCCGGCGCGACCCGGCCGTCACTGAGCCGGGCGGCTCGCTCGCCGCGCTGCGGGGGCCGCCACCCGACTCCAGTCATTTATCTGCCTGGTGTTCCCTAACGCCATCTGAGGCCTCGTCCCCGGCCCGGCCCGAGCCGGCTCCGTCCGCAGCGGTGAGAACGCCCCTCCGGTCTGGCGGCGACCGTCCCCTCGGCGTGTGGCCCCACCCGCCGGCTGTCGGGGCGCCTCACTGCCGGTGGGTGGTCCTGCCGCACATTGGAGGATGTGGTTGCCGGGATTAGTTTGTACAGAACATGGCACCATTTGGCAGTGCAAATAATTTCAAATGTGTAGTTTCATATCTGGAAATAGTTCGTTGGTCAGGTGTGTCCGACTTGACCGGCTGCACCGGACCGGCTCGCCTCTTGCAAAACTACTGGCTGACATGTTTGCCAGTGTCGGCGGGCTGAGCCTGCCGTAAGTCGGTGACGGTCGGACACGCTCGGCGCCAGTCCTTGCTGAAAGGCCGGCCGGGCGCGCCGGCTGTGTAAATGAACGACTTCACGTCGCGGTGTCGGAAGCATGCCAGGCATCCGCGCAGACAGAGTGCGTCCGTCATTGTCGCCCGTGTTTTGCTGGCGTCCGGACAAAGGAACCGCTGACAGGGAGCCAGTCAGGTTAGGGCGCGTGAGAAATGGCCGGCCCACCGCTTCGAGGTGGTTTTGGGCACGCGCGCCTGGCATCCGCGCGTGCGCCGTGTGCGTACACGCTCCGCGCGGGCGAGACATGACCAGTCCGACGCGTTAAACGTGGCGAAATTAGGAGATTGGCGACAAGTGGTGCGAAGTCGCTCGTCGCACACGTGTGCAAAGCAGTGCCCGAAGACGAGGTCGGCCAGCTCGGCACGGGGAGCCGAGCTGTCACGGTGCAGGGGCCGTGGCGGTGTGGGTGGCTGGTGAGGTCCCGGGGCGTGTGACGAGGCGTCCCCCGCCTGGAGCCCGGCCAGCAGGCCGTCACGCGGCCGGTTATGTAACAGGGCCAGCTGGGGGGACAGCCGCGCCGAGCCATCGGCCGCCGGTGGCCGGTACGACCCCGCCCAGGTCGCCCGGCCGGCGGGGAGGGCCGACACGCGGACGCCCTGCGCCTCCGGGCGCTACGCGGCGAGAGCGGCACCTCGCGTTCAAACGCATTCCCGCTGACGACGTGCAGCACGTGCAAACTTAACAGAGTCAGGCAATCTGCTAAGTGGTACAATGCAGCGGCTTAGACAGGGCATCGGGCTGAAGTCTGTGCCCATCGGGTGGTGGCAGTAATGGTGAGGGGCCTCGTCACGGGCGCGATCCCTTCCGGGCCACGGCGGCGCGTGCTGCGGCAGTGCGCCTGGGCTCTGCAGCCATTCTGCCAGCCGGCTTCCTGGTATGAAGGATCGACCCTAAAACACGACGGCCTGGAATGGAGCCCAGCTGCGCTGCCAACATTAACATCCGCGGGCCACGGCCCTTACTCGCCAGGGGCAGACGTCGCCGTCCCAGGCGGTGGCCGTCAGCCGGGGAGCAGGCGGTTGGCAGGCGGAGGCGACGGGGGGAGCTTACGCCGGATTAATGCTTGGTGACGAGCACCGACTGAGCGCTCTCTGTTCGGTGCATCTCCGGGGGCGGGTTGTCTGCACTGTCTTCGTTTCTTTTTAGTAACCATCACGGGATGATAAGTCCTGCGGTTGTTCCCGCCGCGTCAGGCATCTCGCGACATTTGCCCGCGACGCGCCCTCCTTTCCGAGACCCGTGGTCTGGGTCGGAGGACTGGCAATGGGAGTAGGTCACTGAACATTTTGGTGTCATGAAAACTGCGTGGAAGAACCCTAGTACTATGGGCTTTTAAATGTTCGGAAAGTGTGGAGGATGTCAAATTTAAAGCTTCCGCAAACACCGCTCCGAAAATGCGGCTTTGTTTGTCGTTGAAAAAGGTTTCTCGTCCGGTATTTAACGCACGGACCTGCAATTCCCTGGAGCCTCTGGCATTGCTATTCGTCTTTCTTCTCAGGTCTCCAGAGTGTCCTCTCTCTATCCTGTCTGATAGACAATCTGTTTCCGCTGGGATGAATACTGTCAGAACATCAGGCCCGTATATTTTCCCTTGTTCCGAGCACTCTTGTGCGTGGAGCGCAGCTGCGCTCGATTTCCGGATAGCCGGCGGGCAGTGGCGTGCCCAGGCAGGCTGTCAGTGATGACTACCTCGTTTTCTGTTTCGGTACCAAGCAAAGCTGGCTGATCTGGGGGAGGGGGAGGGGGATCTGATCTGGTTCATTTCCAAGACGACTGGACAGGACCGTTGGTTCTCTCCGCTTTCTCACAAGGTTGTCGTGGAAGGAAGACTTTTGGGTCCCGCACCAGTTAACACCTGGGCGCGCGCTTGCCTGGTGGGCGAGAGTGACGGCGGGTGCATCTGGCCGCGGAGCTCTGCTTTGTATCTTCTGGCTATTTCTGCCCGAGCACAGACTCAAAGGCAGCTGTGTGGGAAGAGCCGGCCGGCGCCGTCGCTGGCCGGCTGGCGGCGGCGACAGCGACCACGCGCTCGGTGCCGATTTTGCCTCGAGCGCGTGCACAATCAGGCAGCGTCGTAGCACGTTCTGAAAATGGAGTGTGAAGGTCAAATGCATTTGGGGAAAGCCCTCTCCATGCGTCGCCACAGGATTAATGGGATTTTAGTGAAGTAGCGGAGGGCTAGCCACCCCCCCCCCCCCCCCGTGGCTCTCATGATGCCACGTCTAAGCGTTTTGGACGGTTCTGCTCTTCTGGACCACGGTGGGACGCTGGGCCTGGTCAAGGGTAGCGAAAGGAGGCTTTATCGCTCCCCTCCTTCCTCCCGGGAAGGGCGGAGGTTCGTGTTGTGCGACGAGCAGCTTGGCCTAGACGCAAACATTACGTCCTAAAAGCGCAACGATTAAGGACTTTTTACAGGATACCCGCCTGTTAGCACGCATGTTATGCAGTGTTTTGCTGCTGGCAATCGTTAGGCATCGTTGTAAGCTGTGTCTCATGGGGAGAGAAAGGCCACCTTTCTTCTTGTGCGAGGGAGTGAAGATCAGCCGCGGGTTTTACCAAGGCCGGACAAAGCGCCTTGCTGAAGCGTCTTTGATTTACCAGAGGTGATCAGCGGACTGCCGTGCCGTGGGTTTGTCTCGCGTGGTGCCGGTGGGCATTCGGTGAAATGTTTAGTACCATGCGTGCCTGTCACCAACGTTGTGGAATGACGATTTCCAGATCGCCTGCGCCGACGTTGTAGAAGGTCGAGGCGTTCAAAACGATCACCACATGTACTAATTTGTTTTTTGTCGTTTATTTTGCTTGCCATGGTTCAGGATCTATACACAGATTACTAGCTTCATGCATGCCACGTTTGTCCAGTTAGGCTAGGTACTCTATCAATATTTGAGCCCAAAAGACACTCGTCCTCCAATCAGCGAGCCTGCAGGCGTTTCCTAGAACGTCTTCTCGAATGTGAAGCGGCTGATCATGTCGTAGGCCCACTTGGGCTGGTCGAAGGGCAGAATGTGGCCGGCGTTTCGCACCATGACCTGGGTCAGGGCGCCGGCGTGTCGCTCGTAGCCGGCCACCTCGCCGTCCACGCGCCAGATGTGACGCGTCGAGTTGATGAACTTCTGCTGGCCCTTCCACGGCAGCTTCCGCACAAAGTTCTCGGTGCCGATGTAGTCGATGATGACGTCCATCTGGCCGTTGTAGATCATGACGTTGTAGTCGTTGTCGAGGAGGGTGACGATCTTGCCGCGGACAGAGCGCATGAAGTCTCCCTCTAAGTGGACGTAGACCTCCGTGCCGCCGTGGTAAACCAAGCTGCCGACATGGATGGCTTTCCGCGTAGCCGTGGAGGTGAGGAAGGCAGGGTAGTAGGAGAACTCCTTCGGAGTGCTTTGCAGAAGGTAGTTGTATACAAAGCCCAGGCCAGTGATGAGCTCATACTCCCCCATAGCGGAACCAAAGGCAGCAAATGCCTGCAGGTATTCGCCTCTGCGAATGAGGTCTTCGGTTACGTTCTGCTGGTGGATGAACATGTCTCTGTCCCGAGCCGTGATCAGACCGACGTTGTAGAGGAAGTCGCCGTAGTCCAGCTGGTCGATGGGATCGCATAAACCGTCTCCGATGGCCAAGCCCTTCAGATTGATCTTCAGCTTGGCCGAGGGGTTCTCCTGGTGAATCTTGTAGGAGATGGCCGGCACGTACTTGCCAGCGTACGACTCGCCCGTGACGTAGAAGTCGTTACCCTGGTAGCTGTCGAAGAGGGTGAAAAACTGCGCTAGCGCCGAGTACAGGTCCCGGGCGACGTCTTCCTCGTTGTTGGCGTAGCCGTCGTTGCTCTTCGTGAAGCTGAAGCCGGTGCCGACCGGGTTGTCGATGTACAACATGCTGTGTGTGTTGTGCCAGCTGAAGTCGCGCGGGTGCAGTCTCATCTTGGCGTCGACGCTGAACGGACCGTTCTCGACGAAGAGACCGAACATGCTGGAGCCGCCGGGTCCTCCCTGCAGCCAGAGGACGACGGGTGCGTCGGCCGCGTGGTTCTTGGCCGGGAAGAACCAGAAGAACATGTTGGAGTTGTGCGTGGCGTTGACGGTGAGGAGGCCGGCGTAGCTGTCAACGTCCGTCTGGAGGTCGGTGACCCGACTCAACTTGCGTCCTTCCTGCATCTTGCCGTTCTGGATGTACGGCGTGAGAAAGAGCGGCTGTCCAGCGGCGGCATCGACTCGGTGAGGCGGCGCCGGTGGGAAAAATCGACCGAGCGGTGTGTGCAGGGCCCAGGCGGGCACCAGGGCAGTCAGAAACACCAAACACGACCACATGGCGGCACCGACTAGCACTGTTGTTGCGCCGCGTCTGGCTGGTAACAGGCCGCGGCCGGGGCGTCGCCGGACGGGGGAGAGTGCTGGATCCGATGTCACGTGTTCTGTAGCACAGCGCCACGTGGTGGCGGACGCTGGAAGTAGTGTCGGGGTGATGGCCTCTTTGTTTATGGGCATTACGGTGAGCCAGAAGGAAATCGCTCAGCGCATGGCCACTGTATACTGCCTTCTTCGCAGTAAAAGGGGCAGAATGTTCATTGGGCAATAGCATGATCATCACGTGTGTGAGTGAACTCTTACGGAATTTGAGCTATTGGAAATAAACTCCTTGGCTTTTTTATCACGTTCCCGTAAATCGTCGGGCAGCCATTTAACAGAAGAAAAAAGTCTCAGCGTCCGCACAAGAGCGCTTCCAACCTTCCTGGGTTTTTGGGAGAAAATAGTATTAAGAATTGGCTCACTGTTCGATGGTCCGTATCACCCCCCAATGTATACGCCCATTCCTGTTTACCGTTGTTGCTGGCACCGGTAGATGAGTGACCGTGCCTTGAGTTCAGTGTCAGTTTGCCGGCTTCCTTTCACGGGGAGGGAACAGTAAACGCCGCGTCGCAATTGCCCAGACCAGGGGCAAATTAAGTTATTGACGAACAATTCCTCCGCGTTCAGGTCAAAGTAATAAATGGCAAAGTTGTCATCATTACGATAGTGTAATGGGTGTGTTTTGTTCCTGAGTAAAATAACTGTTAAATGTTTGAGCAGGTTTATTCCTGTGCATGCTCCATTGTTACATTGAACACGGGACTGGTAACGTACGTTGCGGACGTTGTAACATTTTTGTGATGCATATGAATCTCATTTCTTAGAACCTCTTCTCGGAGGTGAAGCGGCTGATCATGTCGTAGGCCCACTTGGGCTGGTCGAAGGGCAGAATGTGGCCGGCGTTTCGCACCATGACCTGGGTCAGGGCGCCGGCGTGTCGCTCGTAGCCGGCCACCTCGCCGTCCACGCGCCATATGTGACGCGTCGAGTTGATGAACTTCTGCTGGCCCTTCCACGGCAGCTTCCGCACAAAGTTCTCGGTGCCGATGTAGTCGATGATGACGTCCATTTGGCCGTTGTAGATCATGACGTTGTAGTCGTTGTCGAGGAGGGTGACGATTTTGCCGCGAATGGTGCGCATAATATCTCCCTCCAGATGCTCGGAGACCTCTTCGCCATTGTTGTAGACCAAGCTGCCGACGTGGATGGCTCCTCTCGTCGCTGTGGAGGTGAGGAAGGCAGGATAGTAGGAGAAATCGGTAGGCGCGCTCTGCAAAAGATAGTTGTAGACGAAGCCCAGTCCGGTAATACTGGTGTATTCTTCCATGGCTTTGTCGAAGGTCCGGGAGGCCATGACGTAGTCACCCTGGAGAATGTATTGTGCTGTGATGTTCTGCTGGTGGATGAACATGTCCCTGTCCCGAGCCGTGATCAGACCGACGTTGTAGAGGAAGTGACCGTAGTCCAGCTGGTCGATAGGATCGCATATACCGTCTCCGATGGCCATGCCCTTCAGATTGATCTTCAGCTTGGCCGAGGGGTTCTCCTGGTGAATCTTGTAGGAGATGGCCGGCACGTACTTGCCAGCGTACGACTCGCCCGTGATGTAGAAGTCGTTACCCTGGTAGCTGTCGAAGAGGGTGAAAAACTGCGCTAGCGCCGAGTACAGGTCCCGGGCGACGTCTTCCTCGTTGTTGGCGTAGCCGTCGTCGCTCTTCGTGAAGCTGAAGCCGGTGCCGACCGGGTTGTCGATGTACAACATGCTGTGTGTGTTGTGCCAGCTGAAGTCGCGCGGGTGCAGTCTCATCTTGGCGTCGACGCTGAACGGACCGTTCTCGACGAAGAGACCGAACATGCTGGAGCCGCCGGGTCCTCCCTGCAGCCAGAGGACGACGGGTGCGTCGGCCGCGTGGTTCTTGGCCGGGAAGAACCAGAAGAACATGTTGGAGTTGTGCGTGGCGTTGACGGTGAGGAGGCCGGCGTAGCTGTCAACGTCCGTCTGGAGGTCGGTGACCCGACTCAACTTGCGTCCTTCCTGCATCTTGCCGTTCTGAATGTACGGCGTGAGAAAGAGCGGCCGTCCAGCGGCGGCATCGACTCGGTGAGGCGGCGCCGGCGGGAAAAATCGACCGAGCGGTGTGTGCAGGGCCCAGGCGGGCACCAGGGCAGTCAGAAATACCAAACACGACCACATGGCGGCACCGACTAGCACTGTTGTTGCGCCGCGTCTGGCTGGTGACAGGCCGCGGCCGGGGCGTCGCCGGACGGGGGAGAGTGCTGGATCCGATGTCACGTGTTCTGTAGTACAGCGCCACATGGTGGCGGACGCTGGAACTAGTGTCGGTGTGATGGCCGCTCTGTTTATCTTTGTATAAATGGGCACGCAAGAAGCAGGGGCTCCGCCGCCTGTCAAAGTTGGGAATAACATGCAGTCTCCTTGAGTGTTCTCTATTGGTATGTAACGAGAATTTAGTGCTGGATAAAAAAACCAGGGGGGGGGGGGTTGAGGGTTTTATTTGAGACAAGTCCTTTGGCCGATGGAGAAATGTAATTATACTTTAAGGTGGGTATATGCGGTGTTGTTTGTCAGTTCGGTGATTTTTCTTATTTTCAAAGCACTGATCTTCCGAACTGATGTAATTTATTGGTTTTATATCTTCATCCTAGTAATTGTTTTCGCGGTGTATTTCAGCTTCGCAACGAGCCCTATTTCGGAGCACCTTGCTCCGGGCGCAGCGCTCTCATCTCCCCTCCAGCCTCGTGCGGCGTGTGGTGAGGGAGCCTCGTGCGGCGAAGAGCCGGCCGCCGCTGGCCGGAGGCGGCCTGAGCTACGCGGGTCGACGGCGACGGATCGGCCGTGTTTTTGTGCGGCACACGGCCGGCGGGCTCGCGCGCCAATCAGCCCCGGGGCCCCCGTCGGGCTGCCGGCCGCCGCGGCACGATGGGGCGGCCGCCGGGCCGGCAGCCTGTTTGCGTGTCGGCTGCGCGGCGGCCCAAATGGCCGATCTGTCGGCGCCATGCGGCAGGTCGGCCGCAGCCGGCCGCTTCGATCGCTCCGGCGGTCGGCTGCGGATCGGCGCGGCTGGCCGGGCGCGGCTGCGCCGGCTCTGCAGCTCGAGTTCACCGTGGTGCATGGCTGCGCCGCTGCTGCGCTCCCCTCGGCCGATGCCCATTTGGTCGGTGAAACGCGCTCTTTACGGCCCCAAAGCGGCCGTTCTGCAATGAACGATGTCTGATAAGTTACGCCATATATTTCGCCACGTGACAATACCAGACGCTCGTGTTGATCCTGGCCGCAGGAGTGCCGTAGATGCGAGACGCCTGTTTGTCCTCGCAACGGCGGCGTCGCCTCACGACATGCCTGTGGGACCTTCACTGGGCCTGGTGGCCGCTGCTGCGACTGCCTGTGATTCCGATTCTGCTTGCAATTCTGCGCGTCGGGCCGAGCCGAGGCGTGCCGAGGAGAAGGCGGCTGGGCGCTGCCTGCAAGCGCACATTCGAGCCACGTCCCCGGGGAGGGCCGGCGGCCGCGCGCGCTGGAGCGGCGCTGAACGAAGGCCCGACGCAGCTCGCCACCGGCTCCGCGCCGGAGCTAGAGACAGGATGGATGCGTGGCGAGCGGACGGAGCGCCGTCGGACGCACGTGGTGGGCTACGCAGAGCCCTGAGTTCCAGCTGTCACCGGGCTCGTGGAACGTGGCGGTTTGGCGCACCGCCTACCCGGTCCTCGCGACTCCCGGGGGCGACGCCGGTCGCCCCTCAAAAGGGTTGGCAGTCTGTTGTAGACGCGCTGACTCGACCGTGGCTGAACGGGAGCTGAGCAGGCGCTGCCAAGTTGCGCTGTCTGACTCTCACTGTCTGGCGGCTGACTCGCCGGTGGTGCCGTGTCTGGCGGCTGACTCGCCGGTGGTGCCGCAGCGGTGGGGTCGACTCGCCTGCTCTCTCCTGATCTCCTGAGGACGGGGGGGGGGGGGGGCACCGATGGAGAGAGCGCGCCGCTCTCGATTACGGGCCGGAAATGGATGGCTCGGTTGGGCGGTGTTTTTGTCCGGTCACGGCTCGCCGGTCATGGAAGCGGGCCGGCCCGGGCGCAGAGGCGCGGCCCGACGTCGGCCCGTGAGACAATGGTTGCATGACGTCATCGGCAAATGTCCGCGCTGGGCGCGGGCAGGCTTTATTTGTTCATTCGTGGCTGACTGATGGTGATGAAGCTTCACAAACGGAAACGATCAGGAGCAATCTTTTTGTAGTGTTAAGAAGTTGCGCAAGCCTGCGTGTGCTTGTCCAGAGCGAGAGCAGTAGCGGATCGAGATGTGGACGAGGGGCTCGGTCTCAACGAGCCACGAATCGATTCATATACCGTCGCATCCTACATGTACATTATTACATTATGCATAATTATATGATAATATAATAGTTTGTGTTACTATATGATATGTAATTATGCATTTACTTTGTTAATATCGTCGTGGATCTGCACCCGTCCGCTTTTACTATTGTTGTCGACAGCGCGCGACGCTGTGACGTCACGAACTGGCAGCGCGCGCGCCGCCTCCGGAAACAAAATGGCGTCGGCTTCTGAGAGCCAACTTAATTAGCGGGGATCTGATCTGATCTGAGTGAAGTGGCGGCGACCGGAGCACAGCCTGCAGCGCAGCGTTCGGCCGGCGGGGTCGCCTGCAGCACGTCTGAACAGGCCGCGGCGCCGTAATTGAGGTCCGTGTTTGCTGGTCTCGTCGGTGTGGCGTTGTCTGGATGTGGAAATCCGACCTTGGGTTCGGCTATGAGTCTAGAGTTGGGTCGTCGCCCACGACGGCTGGGGTGATGGATAGCGACACTCCATCACCCGAGATGGTTTATGCGTGGCTGGACCCCAAAATTATTTAACGGGATTTTGTTCAAGAGTGGCGTTGCACTCAGTACCTTCAGGCTACCGGAGAGTGATGATGAAGAACGGCAAAACACCGCTTACAGCGATGGAGCGCACATTGTGTGTTGCAGGTGTTTTCATTTGACACCAACGGTGTCAAATAAAATCCAACGGTGAAATTATCGCTGGAATGTAAAGTCCTTTGAGAGCTTGAAACCGTGCGGTTGCTGATGGTATAGATGACGTGTGAACAAAAACACATGCAAATGGTTATCAGTTTGGTGTAAGCCCTATTTTTTCGTGACAGCGCTCACGTAAAAAGGCTTGTGGGCGCTCAATGACCCCAGCGATCGGCGTGCCCCCGGACGCCAATCATTGATTAAATACGGCATGGTTCGTGCCTCCTATGGCTGGTGGCCGCGGCTGGGAGACGTTTTGTCTCCACCATCGGACCCTGGGCTTCTGAAGCAGCCATCGATCGCGCCCGGCGCAGCACTCGACAGAGCTCTTCACCCGCCGGCTGGAAGTGGAACAAGTCGGAACTTCTGAGAGACGTCTCGACTGGCCGCCGCTCGGCCTCACCGTTACGCGAGAAGCGTGGCGATTGGCGTTCGACCGGCCAGGTCACGGCGGAGCCAATGCCTTGGAATAGTTTCTGATCGACACCGCCAGGCGGATTCCATTAAAACTTCTGCCAGTAGCTGGCTGAAATAGAGTGATCGGGGTTCGCATAAGGCATGCGAAAGGATTTGGCTGCCAGTTTGTCCAGGCCGTAAGCCTTGAATACCGACATCTGGTGTCGGGCATTGCGCGGTGTCAATATACCGCCGACGTATCGCGACCGCCGGCGCTGGTGAACGGTCCGTATTTGAACGATCGGATGGTGCATGCTCTCGTGGTCTGCGTGCCCCGGCCGTCCGACCCGGATGAGGCTGAGCGCGGTAATAACCCCGTGTGCAAAACCTACCGTCGTTAGCGACGCGACCCACCGTCGTTAGCGGCGCGACAATCATGCCGGAGCCAAACAACGCGCTGATTACGCCTCGCCGCTAGCGAGAGGAGCGGCGTCCCGGAACGGCCCTCGGGCCGCGCCTGCAGCGGCCGCGGAGTCGCAGAGCCCCGGGGCCCAGCTACGCCAGCCCCCGTCCGGTCCTCCGCCGGCCGCGCCTCGGTCCGAGCGCTGGAGTCGAGTGCCGGCGTCAGGTGGGCGCGCCGGTGCCGGCGATTGGTGCTCGGCGGGCGGCTCCGGTGCGGCGGCCGCGCCGAGGCAGCGCTCGGTACCGGCCGGCCGCGCGTGGGCGACTGGCGCCGCGTCACCGCCGCCCTGCCGCCCCCCGCCGCTGTTTGTCAGCGATGGTTTCCCTCTGCGGCCGGCCTGCGCGGCTGGTCTGCGCTGCGCCGTCCGAGGAGCCGCCTAAGCCAAGCCGATCCCGACTCACAGGCTGGTAGCCTAGCCGTCGGACAAGATTTTATAACACATTTTTCGCGCGGGAAAAGGCCGCGCCAGGCCGCGCCAGCGCGCTGGGTAGCCACTTCTGACGTCCGGCTGTGGCTGGGGCAGCAGGGACAGGGGATGTTCAGAATCCGGCCGTGGCTGGGGCAGCAGGGACAGGGGATGTTCAGAATCCGGCCGTGGCTGGGGCAGCAGGGACAGGCGATGTTCAGAAACGATTTTCCGTCGGAAAATGAGCTGTGGCGGAGTGAACGATCCATTTTGATGACGTCACAGCGGCGGCGGCGGCTCTGTTTTGTCGGCGGTGAATGGGGCGGCCATTTGTCGTGATTTCCGGTCGCGGGGACGGCGAACGACGTCGGCCTCGTCGCCGGCCGACGACGCCGCCCGGCCGGCTGGAGCCGGTCTGGCGCCGTCCTGCCGTTGTCTGCCGGAGTCTTCCGATGGCCGCCAGATGCGACGGGGCACCGTACCTGGCGTTTCCGGCCGTGCCGGCTGGCTGCAGGCCCCGCCAGCCGGCCTCAGGCCCCGCCAGCCCTCCTCCCTCCCGGGCGGTGCAGCCGGTGGCGGCGCCGGCTCCGGCGGACGAGGGCGCCTCTGCGTCGGTCTCGCCAGCGGCGCCGCTGTGGACGGGCGGGCCAGATGGAGCGTAGAGGAGCCCCTCTCCGCCCGCCCGCCCGCCCGGCCCCGGGGCTCGCCAGGGCTGCATGTGGTTTGCGGTGTAAAAATGGAAAACTGACACGTTTTGATTATTTTATCAAGTCTAATTTTATCAAGTGCATTATGTCCCCCCCCCCCCCAAGACTATCCGTTGCCTTTGGTTAGGGTTACGGAACCGGCCTGGTGGGCCTGACCTGGCCGCGTCACGTGACACGCGTGTTTCGGTACTGGGCGACCGCGGCCAGCCGGGACCGCCGAGCAGCGGCACTCAGACCACCGGCATGAAACATGTCACCGCAGCACTGATGCCGCCCGGGCCAGGGGCCTGCAGGTGTTATGGGCCGTGTTATAGGCCGTGTTAGTCCTCATGATATGTCTGTTTTGTGAACTTCTTTTGGAGCCGCCGTTCCTTACGCAGGTGTTTGCTTGTGGTCTTGTGCTGTTGCAATTCGTGCAGACCGGGCACGCGTAACGCCCGCTTTCTTTGCGTTGCAGCAAATGGTGCAGACGGCGCAGATGGCGGCCCCATACCAGCTGCCGTCGCAGAACGGCGAGCCGACGGCCGTCAAGGCAGCCGACCTGACCAAGGAGGGCGGCGCGCTCTCGCCGCCGGTGGTGACCTCGCTGGCCGCCGCCGCCGCCGCTGCCGCCGCCGGCGCCCAGCAGAACGGCGTGGAGCCGCCAGCCGCCGCCAATGTGAGCAGTCTGGTCTGGTCTGTCAGCTGGTCTGGCAGGACAGCAGGAACAGCTGGTCTGAGGGGGAGGGGGGGGGGTGCGGGCAGGAAGGGTGCCGGCCGGGACAGGTGTCGGTGGTCGTCTGTTGCTGTTGTGGGTGCTTCCGGGGTGGGGGCAAGCGTCGGAACACATCTGGAGGGCACCCGTCGAAAGATCTGTGACCCTTTGTCTCATCTCAAAGTTTAATTAAGAATCTTCCAGGTTCCTTTATTCGGAGGTAAATAACTTTATTATTGTCTCATCCAGCCTTGGCTGGACGAGCTGTCCCATTTCAAAATTTAGGCTGCAGAGCGGCAGCGGACTGACGGTACTGCGGTAATGGCCAGGTCTCCGCTGTGGAATGTCGCTTCAGCGGAACAGGTCTGTGACTAATTAATGGCTCCACTGCAAGACCGAAAACATCCCTTTATGCCCCTGTACAGTGCTGCTAATATGCTCTAGGAGCAGCTGTTGGATACCGGCTTTGACTCGAAATGCATTCTGTAGTTCGTGGACACAAAGCAAATGAAAGAAGGCCAACGAAAATATCCAGCATATGCTATAATCCAACATCCATAATTGCCAATGCCACTGTGGCACTCATGTGGATGCAACACTTTCCAGAGCTCTAATCGTCGCGTGCACCCTCTCGAAGGTGTCCATAATAACAGGTCTCGTGAGGCGGCTCTTGCAGGTGTGGAAGCTCCCAGCGTTTCAAAGCGTGTTGCATAACCGTCCGTCCTCGATGCCATTCGCGGCGCGTCCCTGCAGCCGCGCCGCCGCCGGCGGGGATGTGCCGGGCACGTATCTGGCGCGCCATAAACCTTGGGCGGGCCGCGCTTGGACGTCGGCTCGGTGGCGTGGCCGACGGCGATGGGCGCACGCTCGACAGCCGGCCGACGCGGCTGGCGCGGTCTCCCCGGCGGAGGGCACCATTCGTGCCCGGAGGGTTGAGAGGCCGATTTGTATGCGGAACGAGAGGGCCAAACGGCCACTGTTGGCGGCGGGGAGCGGCGGCGACTGGGTGCGCTGAGCCGGCGCCAGATGCCTAAACGCTGGGGGCTTTTCGTACGTTTGTATATGTCCCTGGGGTATTAGATCCAGACGGCCGGTCTTCTGGCTGCTGTGGCTGCTGTCGTTTTGTTGAGATTGAGCCCGGCCGCGCGGGTACCGGAGCTGAGTACGTCCGTTTTTCCTTTGGCGTGCCTCGCTGTGAGACGAAGTTGTGATGCGCCATCGCGCACAGCCCTCTCGCGGCCCGGCGTGGTTACAGTGACCTCATGGCATTGTGGCCTAACACGTGACCTGTGCTTTGACGTGGCGGGGTCTCGTGGCTTCTCGTGCGATTCAACCTCACCGCTCGTGTGTTTGTGTGTATGTGTGTGCGGTGTGGTGTGGTGTGGTCTGACCTGACCTGACCTGACCTGACCGCGCCGGATGGCCCGGCGTGACCGGTGGTGACGTGACGGTGCCGCCGCCAGGCGCCGGCCGAGGGAGGAGCTGAGCCGTCAGGCAGCGCGGCCGAAGGCGAGGGCGCCGCTCAGCCGGCCGCCGCCGCCACCGCCGCCACGCCGCCCGCCAGCAAGGAACAGCCCAAGCGGCTGCACGTCAGCAACATACCGTTCCGGTTCCGCGACCCCGACCTACGCGCTATGTTCGGGGTGAGTGTCACCAGCCGGTGGGGGGAGGGGGGGGGGGCGGAGCGGGCGCGTCGGCGGCAGCGCGTCCGAGCTCGGTCACCGGCGACGCCGTCTCGCTGCGCGCGGCGCCACGGCGCGGGAGCTGCAGTTAGCCTCGTTGGAGCCCGGCGGGCTCCCGCAGCGGCTTCTCCGGTGGCTGACGCCGTGTGGTGTGTGGTGACTGAGAAATGGCCGGGAATCGCGTGACAGTCTCTGGACAGAGGCGGAAGATGAGGGAGTCCATTTCGCTGCCTGCCGGGACGATATGGTCGCAAGTCTGCGATAATGGAACCAAGTTAGCGAATTGATCGCCCCTCCCCTGGGCCGCCCTTCTGGGGCATCTCGACGGCTTGACCGCGTGGCTTCTCTGTATTTCTGCCGGACTACAGGCACATTTATATAGCGGTTGTGTTTTCGTTGCCGGCGAACATGCCTCGCTTAAGTTGTGTTTCACCATTTACCCACAAATAATTCCGATGTTTTCGTTGCGGGTGATGTTAGAAATTCTTTTACTTTGGACGTGCTGCCTGCCAGATTTATGAGCTCACTTACGAACCGTCGTCTTCTACCATTGCAAGGGAAACAAAAACCCTCCCGGTCAGGTGTGGCAAATTCCCATATGAAAACAAGGTATTGTGTCATCCGACTGGATGCCCAGTCGTGTTGTTCCTTTTCGTGCCAGAGAACGGCAGTATTGCTGGTCTGTGATGCTCTGTTTCAACCTGACGTAATCCCTTGTCTTTCAGCAATTTGGTCCGATCCTGGACGTGGAGATTATTTTTAACGAGCGAGGCTCCAAGGTAAGGTTTTCGGACATGCATCAAATTGCTTACAATGCCGATTCAATCACTGAAGCCTTGTGGAACCCTCGAGTAATTTGGTAAACGGTCAATGTGTTCATGCTGAGTGTCGTATGTAACATGGATTGGATAATGCATAATGCATTTGCCGCTTTTGACGCGTTGGGCATTTTTGCACCATAAATGGTTGATTGGTTGACCGTTCTCTTGCTGTGGTGTGTTCATGTGCGCGTGTAGTGTCGTGTTCGATTGTTTGCTGCCGGCCCGCTCCTGTCCGTCCTCGCCCCGGCCCCACACCCCGAGCATTGTGTGTCCCGCGGCTCCGACGCGATGGCAACTAACACCCTTCTTGTGCAGATCTAGTGCTTCAACTGGTACACGACTGCTCCCCTCAACTCCCCCGTTATTTCTCCGTCTGGTCCACTTCTCACGTGCCTCGGTGACGCTCCCTTGTCCTCCTTCCCTCGTGCTTTCCTGTCGCCGACTGAAAAGGGCTTGCTGCTGAGGGACTCATTTTAAGATTTTGCACGTTCTCCTTTTCCATCCTTAAGTATCTTATTACATTACCATCGATAAACGTTCCGCCCGAATGACTCCCCATCATGTGTTTTATTCGTGCGGGCCTGGTACCAAGATTTAAGCTGTTCGCAAACCCTGTGGCGTACGGCGAATGTTACCTACTGCCCTGAAACGTTCCTTGTAACATGGTTTTAACGTTGTTAACGCTACTCGGTCGGAGACCGGGGAACGCCGCAGTTGAAGGGATAGACCTACCAACGTTGTCGGCCTTTTGCATTCTGGAGCCTATTCTTCCCCACTAACGTTCTAAAGACCAACGCTGTCCCAAGAACAATCCTTCTCCCTGAGTGATCTGTCTTTTTCTCATTTGAAACAAATCCCGGTATGGTTCCGTCTGTGGCTCTCCTAGATCTTGTGTCCGATGGCCAAGACCACGTCTCGTTCCTGGTGGTACCCCGCCATCCTGGCCAGTACGAGAGTGGAGCCGCCGGCCCGTCCCCCTTTACGTGATCGTCATGCTAAATTGCGCCCGCTTCGTGCTAGTCGTTGACTGGTCGTGTTTTGTTTCTTATTATGTTCTGTCCCCCAGCATCCCTCTGAATGAACAATATGTTTCTCGGCTCTGACGTTTTTCCCCACGCAAAATTTAGAACAGCCTTGCTTTTGTTCTTACTGGGACGATTTTATATTTTCGTAACCCAACTGTTATAGCGCCCTTCGGTGTTTTTGCAACGGAACCCTCTCCAGACTCCAGTCACGTGCCCGCACCGTGATGACCTTCGCCCTTGTGACCCGGCGCCCGTACCCGACTCCTCTCCGCGCCGGCAGCAGGGCTGCGGCCCGCCGCCGCCGGCCGGCCCGCCGACCCCCGCCCCTGGCCAGCGGCGCCCCATCCGTCCCGCCGTGCCCGTACTGCACACCGCACACTAGAGCAGCCTGGCCCGCCGGAGTGTCGGTATACCTGCACGAGGCGCGTGTTTCTGGCATGCGACGCGGCCGCTGGCCGGCGGCTGGCGCCCGGCCCGCCTCTCTGACGGCGTGTCTCGTGTCTCTCTCTTGCATGGGTCTGCCGGCTGGACAGGGGTTTGGGTTTGTGACGTTCGCCGGTAGTCAGGACGCTGACCGCGCCAGAGACAAACTCCACGGACAAGTGGTAGAGGGCAGGAAAATTGAGGTGCGTGCGCTGCAGGGCTGAGCGTCTGGCTCGCTGTGATATGACCTGTCCGCGGGCGGCGGCGGCCGGGCGGCACCCGCCGCCGCGCCCGCCGCCGCCCGCTGCATGGGACTCTGTGTTGGCGCCCGGCGCGCTCGGTCCCCGCTGGCGGCGGGTGTGCACGTGCATGACGGCCCCCGCCCCAGGCGGCCCGGCTCCAGTGGCCGGCTGTCGCGCGGCCAGCTTGTACTGTCCCGCCCGTCGGCGCGTGGTGGTCGCCACGGAGACGCCGCCGTCGCCGTGGCGACCGAGCCCGCTGCCCCGGCGACCGAGCGCGCCCGCCTATGCCTGGTCTGCAGTAATTCGACCCAACGGTAGCACTCACGTGGTATGTTTAGCAAGAGGCCTGGGCTTGGCTCGAGTGACCTTGAGGTGGTGCTCGACCCGGCCTCAAGGTCAGTCAGCCAAACCCAAGTCCCGCTGGTGCATTTTTCTGGGCTATTTTAGATTGAACAGGTAGTAACTATTGTCGCAATGCGCGAATGCATTAGTTTGATTTACGTTGCGTTGAATCACCTGACCGATTTCGTTCTGTCTGTTTGGTTGATCTCTCTTCTCAATCACTGTACATTAGCCAATATCAGCGCGGCGCCTCGTCCGCCGGCTGCCACCACACTCACACGAATGCCGCGCTCGAATGACGTCACGCGGAATGCGCCCATACCGCGGCACGCGCGCGCGCGCGCGCGAGCGATCGGCGCCGCGCCTCTTCTCTAATCCACCTTAACACGGCTGGGTTGTGGTGTCTGACTGGTCGGCGACACGGCTCTGCTTTGGTCCTGGCCGCGGCGGCACGCCGGCGTCGCCGCAGGCTGCAGCCGGGACGCGCCACTGCCGGCGCGCGCTGCCTGCCCCGCCCCCGCCCCCACTCCCTATCGCACGCGGTGTGGCTCTGTGTGGCGACGGGCGCCGGGCGTGCCGCACGCGCTCGTCGCGCGCCTGCAGCGAGAATGCGACCGGAGCGTGCCGGCCGGCCCCACTGTACATCTCTGTAGAGGCAGGCTGGCTTGTGGTTGTTGCGCTTGGGGCGCCTGCGGCCCCCCACCAATGCGCCCGCGGGCGACGCGGCCCCGGGCCCCGCCTCCTCCCCCCCCCCCCCGCCCCCATACACTCACGGCTAACGTGCAGAGTAACGGAATGGATGTTTGCTTCTCTTAGTCTGCCCCGTTCGACGCACGATTGAGGCTCGCTCGTTGCCATGGCGACTTATAACGACCATCCTTGTCCTCACAGCCGGTGGCGCTGTACATAACGATCACATGCCCTCCATATGTCCCGCCGAATGTCTCGGCCCCCGTTCTCTCTCTCACTCACTCTGTCACTCTCTCTGTCTCGGTCCGCCCCGTCCGGCCCGGTGCCGCCCGGTCGGCTGTTGTCACGTGCCGGGGCCACACGCTCTCTCTGTTTCCCCGCCAGAGCGGCGCGACGCGCGCTCCGTCCCGTTATGGCCGGTGGTGGCGCCGCCGGCTGGCCGCCCGGGCGGGCCGGCCGGCGGCCAGGTCGGGCCCCAGTCCACGCCTCGCGCCGCCGGCCGGCCGGCCAGCCCGGGGTCGGCCGCGTCAGCGTCCTCTCTCGAACACACTGGTCTAGCTCGGATGATGCAGCAACTGCTTCCGTTTCTCTTTAGCGGGGGATGGCTCAGTGGTGGTCGGTAACGCCGGTGCCGTGACGGCCAGGTGAGTGTGCTGCGGTCACGTGGCCGGCCGGTTCAGGGTCGCACAGCGGCCGGCGGCCACCCCCGGCCCGCCGCGCCCCGTCAGAGCTCGCACTCGGAGCCGGCTGCGTTCACCGGGGGCGGCTCGTTACCGCCCGGGCGGCGGGCGGGCCGCGGGGCCGGCTGCCGGCGCCAGGCGTAGGCGTGTGGGGTCAGGTCGCCGACCTCAGGCGCGGCCGGGGGCGCGCTGGGTCGAACGGAGAGGGGGCACGGAGGCCGCAGGCTTGGCGCGCTTGCAGCGGCTACCGGAGCGCTGCTCCTGCTCAGGGGGTGACGGCCTCAGTGTCCCCGCTCCTGCGCGCGCCGCCGGCGGTGGCCGAGGGGACCGGTAAGTGTCCCGGAAGCGGGACATCTCGGGGACCAGAAGCGGGACGTCTCGAGGGGACGCGGCGCACTCTGACTAAAGACGACACGTGGACTCGGCACAAACGGGACCACTCTCTGCCGCGTTTCCGGCGGGCCATTCAGCTGGGGCAGCGACGAAGGCACTGATCAGCCGGCGAGTGGGCGACGCCTTTCGACCGGGTCCACACGTGGATGGCGGCTCCGCCGGGCTGGCACGCACTGGAACGGTGTGCAAACGGGTGGACGGGCGGCGGGAGGCCGCGCGGAAACCGCGGTTTCCTTGCCTAATGATATGCCCTTGGTGGCGACTGTATCGAACCTGGTCGTGGGCTGTCGCCCCGGGCTACCAGCAAACGGTCACCACGGCAGCGGGAGCACCCGGTGGGAACGCCCCACCTGGTCATGCTCGTGGACGCTGCCTTGCTACCGCCACTGGGATGGTGGACGGGCTGGACCGCGAGCGCGCGCGCCGGCTCTTCGGACCACGGCTGCCACACGGCCGGCCATCGGTCGGCGGCGGTTCGGCTGGGGCCGAGCCGCCTGGCAGCGAGCCGACACTGTGCCGCAGCACACGGCTGCGGCCGGCGCGGCCTACGCGGCCCGGCGGAGCGCGCCCGCCCACTGCCCGGCTCCCTCTCTCCGCGTGCACGCGGCCAGCATCGCGCTCGCGTGCCCGCCAGTGGAGCATGATTGACCTCTTAAATCGCGTGCAGGCGGCCGGCCTGGGGTAGTCGCAGTCACGCCGCGAAGCGAAGCCGCTCTCGTCCGTGACGAGGCGTGCACCGCAGTGTTTTCGCTCGGCAGGGCTTGCGGTGTTTCGAAATTTGTCGAGTCGCGATACGATCCTCCACGCATAATTAGCGCGCATTCGTGGCCGCAGCGGTGAAGGCTAGGTGTTGGTTGACAATGGACACACACGACAAACTGCAGTGCGCTCCCGGCTCCCTGGTATAGAGCTCAGCTGTTCTGCCGCCGTGTGGCTGCAGCCGCGTGCAGGTAAGTTCGGCACTAGCCTAGATTGTAAGATTGTATGACATGTTAGCATAAGGCGTGACCACCTCTTTCAGCTGTCGTACGCGTTCTGGCGTTGTCGCGTTTACTTTGCGAGCGTGTATGTCGCCTTTCACGTACGGGGCTGGGAGTTCTAGTCAAGCACTTTCTGTATGGAGCGTGTGGTGGTGATGTTTGCCGAGGCGCCTTCAGCGTCGCTAGTGGTGTCACTGCGGGGACGGCGCCGTCGCTGCGACCGTGTGCTGACCGGCGCCGGGGCGCTACAGGTCAACAATGCCACGGCCCGCATCCAGACCAAGAAGCCGGCCGCCGCCTCCACGCTGCCCAACGGTGAGTGCCGTGGCCGGGGAGGACGGTGAGGTGGCGACGCCGCGGGGTGGTGTGGGGTGCGGCTGGCGGCCCGTCCCGCCCAGCCGGCCGCCCTTGCGTCGGGTAGTGCGCCTTTCTGCCTGCTTTGTGTCGAGCATACACACTTGTAACGGGATCGTCACTGCGTGTGGTCGACAGCTTTGTACATGTACCAGAAGCGGAGGAGTGGGCAGCATGTTCTGACTCCGAACGCCGGGATTGTGGCGATGTTCATCCCGGTTGGTTTTCCGTTTCCGCATTTTGGGGACTCTCACAGTCTACCTGGTGTCTGTGCAAGTAGGGGATGACGTTGTCGAGACATAGCAGTAACCGGTACGGTCTCTGTGCTTCTTTTTGTCACTTTCTTTCTATCTCTTTCCCCTCTTTCCCTGGCTTTCTTCATCTCTGTCTCCCTGTCCAATGCTTGTTGTCTTGCTTTTACTCGTCGCCCTTCTCGAACTCTTCCCTCTGTCCACCGACTGTGCGGTGCGTCGTGCTTTGCATTCTCAGCCCCCTGGTCGTGGTCCCTTTCGTCCTGTTACGTCACTCGGCTGTGGTGGCGTGACGTCACATACACACCCCCAGTGTGGTGGGCGGTCATTGGCGGGCGTTAATGTTAGCCTCTCTCTGATTGAAGCACTGCTGGCCCGGACCGGAATGCTTGCCACACCGCTTGGTGAGAGGACTGGTGTCGGTGTCTGGCTCTGGTGCTCCTCTGCTCTGTCCCGCTCGGACGTCCCCTCTCTGTACACCCCCCCCCCCCCCTCCACCCACCCACCCCCATCTGGCGTTGATTGGTTTGATCTTGGGCTCGGCCGTCCTGCTGCGGTCCGCTGCGGAGCGCCCCGCCCCGGCGCGTCATGCTTGGTGACTGTTTTACGCAGCTGCTCGTGACCGCGGAGTCACATTGTTACGGGTTGTTCGTTCGCCTTGCAAAATTGAATTTCGCTCGAATCCTCAACCATTATCGTACGCCCCCCCCCCCCCCTCCCCCCTCCCCGTCTGTGGGACTTCCGAGGCCCTGTGGTCGTCCTCACTTCTCTGACGCAAACCGGCGGCACGCTAGACCGATCACTGGCGCCTGATCGGCCGCGCCGTTGACCGGATGTCTCACGCAGCTCTCAGCATGCTAGCCGGTGTCGACTGGGGACTAGGCTGCCGTTTGGCTTTCGGTGTTGTCTGTGTTTCATTGAGCGTGTGCGCCGCAGCAACATTCCACACCACACGGCCACCTAACACCAGTGGCGCCACTGCGGACACTCGCGCGGTGGGCACGCATGCCCTGCCACCTCCGCGCATGCGCACTGAGCCTGAGCGCCACCGCGAGCCAGCCAGATGGCGCCGCTGTGTGTAGATGTCGCTGAGATCGCCTTGCGTCGCCCTGCGCCGCGTGTTTGTTCCCTGGGACTGTGGCTGCCGGAGACGACGGGTCTGTGCTGGGTGGGTGGGTGGGTGGATGGAGGCCGTCCGTCACCCAGAGTGGTCTGTTGCGAGCCCGCCAGGGTTCGGCTCCTGGCCGCTGTCCGAGCCGGCTACACTCAGACACACGGCACGCGCGCCGGCGGCCGTCGGCGGCTGTAGTGTGCCTGGCGATCGCTAGATGTCTCTGTCGTGTGTCGCCAGCGGCCGCCCTGCGCGGCGCGGCGCTGCAGCGGGGCCGCGTCCGGGCGCTGCCGGCCGCCGCCGCCGCGCCGTTCGCGCGCCACCCGACGCCGCTGACAGCAGCCGCCGCCGCCTCCGCCCTGCACGGATACGCGCCGTGAGTAGGACGCGCCGGCCGGGCGGCTGACGACTGCCTGGGACGCGCCGCACTGAGCGGCCCACACGCTGTCATCGGCTGCATATACGGAATCCATCCTGCTGGATGTGTCATCCTGACTCGTCATGAAGCCACTGAAAGGGTCTCGTATTTTTCTGGCGCTGTAATTGCTAGAACAAGGCAACGTCCTGTGTATGTGTGTGAGCGCCTGGCTGTGGCGGGAGCAGCGTGTCTTCAGTTGCATTCCCTGTCATTGGGCGTGTCTGACTCGGACCCGGCTGCCTTCGTTACAGACTGTACTACGACCCAACCATGATGGCCAACTCGGCCATGGCGGCTCAGCTTCAGGTGAGGGTCGGCCCAGCTCTGCGTAGTGCCCACCTCGAACCCGACCGGCGACGCTCACTGTACTCGGCCGCTCCCCTGTTGTGTCGATGACCCGCGGCCGGGCCGTCATGTCACTGGGTCCGGGCTGCCGCGTGTGGTGACGTCCTCAGCACCTCGTGCCCGGCCCTGCTGATGCTCTGCCGGGCGGGCGACGGACCGGCGCCGCCGCGCGCTCGCCGCGCCGCCGCCACACTCGGCCGGTCGGTGTCGGCGCCGCGCCGCGCCACTGGCGCCCGTTGGTCCGTGTCTGCATGCCCCCCGAGCTCAGTCGGAGCGCATGTGCGCCGCGACCCGGGAGAGAGAGAGAGAGAGCATCAGCACTGGCTGGGAGCGGTGTGCGGCCGCTGCTGGAAGGGGACGGCGCGGCCAGGCGGCGCCGTCCGCCACCGCGCATGCGCGTTTGTGTCGTGTTGTGACCCGCTTTCGGTGTGCGGCGCGCGTGCGGCGTGCTGTCGTGTCCCGGTAGCTGTAACGATGTACAGAGGTCTCTCTCGCTGGCTCTCCACTGACCCGGCCCGCACCTGCCCCCGCCCGCATGCTAACCTAGCCCCGCCGCTGACCGGGCCTGCGCTGCACTCTCTGTCTCTTTCTCTCTCACTCACCGCTCCCGGCATGCTTACACCGGCCGCGCCCGCGCTCGGGCTAGCTCGCACGCCCTCACCGGGGGGGATGGGAGTGCTGTGACGCACGGCCGGCCGCGCCGACTCGAGACACGGCGCGGCCCGCGGACCGGAGACGCCCGCGCCGGTGTGCCGGGCGGCCGGGCTGTGCTCACGGGCGCCTCTGCAGGCGGTGGACGGTGCAAGCCAGGCCATGGTCTGGACGCGTTTGGGTGACGGCTTCTGTGTAACTTGACGGGCGAAATTTGTAAGTCGGTGGAGTGGAAGTGTTTGTCAAGTTAACCCGGCAGTGAGCGGGATGGCAGAGGGTTCTGCCGGATTACCGCTGTTAGCTGCTTGGTCCGTGAACAGGTGATGCTCGTGGTGTGTGAGTTACAAAGCGGTGAGATGTAGCATGGATGTAGCTTCATTTTTGGGCTCTGACGGCAGGACAAATCGGGCTCACAGGAGGACAGCCTGACTCGAAATTGTGTTAGTTTATTGGAAAATTTGAGAAACGCCCAGTCGGGGACATAAGTTAAGAAACTTCGGGCAGGGACAGGCGCATTATAAAACATTGTTTATTTTCTCTGCAGCCCGCAACGTTTTATTTGCAGCATACGACTCAATTAAAAACAGGCGGATTGCACGATGGCCGAAGTCGTTAAGTGGCGACATCTGTTGCGGAGCCTGAGAAGCTGAGGTTTTGTGTGGCCGTAAGACGGCGTCCGCACAGTGAATGTCGCGGCGCCCTTCTCTGGGCTGAGCCTTGCTGCACCGCGCCGCGGAATTCGGACTTCCAACGATCAACGTCGAACCCGTCCACAGCCAGCGCAGCTCGTGTTTGGCGAGGAACTGCCCCGGAATCACGGCACGCTAAAATATCGAACCGTAAAGTTATTTCATGCTGACCCTCACGTCCGTGAAAACTGGCTTATGGGCTGCGACGCGACACGGCAAGTCGCCCGAGCGCCGTGGCCGTATTGGTCTGGCTCGTGCTTTTCGGCGGACAGGACGAACTGGTGAAATGGCGACCACATTCGACCTTAACTGGCGTTATGTTAGCCGTCTGGGCCTCTCGGCAAATGACCGCGCCCTCGAAGCGCCCTTGAATCGAAATCTTCTGAAGGTTAGGCATTTCGCAGAAATCATCATCGAACACGTGAGATATTCAGAGTATAAGTTATGTTTTTAAAGTGGCCAATAGGCGTCCCGGGTCACACCGCCTGCCTGGTGGGGAGTGGAGGCGGACCTTCGCGCTCAGCAGCCGGCGAGCTCGTCTGGCCGGCCGGCGGGGAGGGCAGGGGCGGCCCGCGTCCTCCGCTCTCACTCATTCCGCCGCCCGTCCGTCCGGCCCCCTCCCGCATGGCGTCAGTGCGGCCCTGTACACCGTTACAGCCCGGCTCGGCCGCCGCCGCCGCCGCTGCCGCCGCTGCTGCCGCCGCCCAGGCCGCCATGCTCAAGGCCACACCCGTCTCGATGTCGCAGCAGGCGGCCGGCGCCGCCGCCTATAACGCGGCCGCGGCGCGCGCCTACACGGCCGCGATGACGGGCCAGCCGGCTCTGGCGGGCGCCACGGGCGCCGGCGCCTCCGCCGCCGCCACCTCGTACCCGGCGGCAGCTGCCGCCGCCGCCGCGGCGCAGCAGGCCCAGCAGGCGCAGCTGGCGCAGCTGGCCGCCCTCGGGTGAGTCGACCCCGCCCGCTCGCGGCGCCCAGCTGGCGGCCACACTGGGGACCGGCTCTCGGTTTGATTCCCCGCGGTGGCAACTTTCACGGATCACGGCCTTTGCCATAGATTGCAGCACTTGCGGTCCGAGTCGTTACATTGTGGTGACCGCTGTCCAAGCTGTTGTTATTTCGTGTGTCCGAAGCGGTGCGATTGTTCTGTGAAGGCTGGCGAGTGTCTGCCACTGCCTGGCACCTGTTCGGCCCCGATTGTTCTGTGAAGGCTGATGAGTGTCTGCCACTGCCTGGCACCTGTTCGGCCCCGATTGTTCTGTGAAGGCTGATGAGTGTCTGTCACTGCCTGGCACCCGTTCGGCCCCGTTCGTCCGTCACGTGAGGGCGCACGGAGCGGCGCAGAGGAGCGGTACGTGACCTGGCCTTCATGTTGCAGCATCCCGACCTCGACTGAGTACGCTGCTGACCCGTACCTGGGGCACAGCATAGGGCCCATGGCCGGATACGGGGTAAGAGCCGGAGACGAGCGCCTTCTTATGTGTCGGATGAAGTCGGGCTGCATGTCTGGGCTGGCAGCTGCGTGTGGCGACGTAAACCCCAGCCCTTGTAAGCGTCGATAAACACCCCACCAGCAGCTGTACGCTTGCCGTGTAAGCGGTGTGGACGCCAATGCCGGTGCCGCCTCTGCGGTTCAGCGGATGGCGAGCCGGACGCGGCTGCTCAATTGTTGTCAGGCTTGTGCTGAGCCCTGAGGCCCTGCTGATGTGATGCGGCATGGACCGCCAGTTGGCACCGGGCCAGGAGAGACAGGCCGAAGCAGCGCGGTGGCGGCGAGGACGTTGTGTGACACGTTTTTATGTCGGGCAAATTTTGCATTAGCCTTGAGCGGTTATGGTGGGGTGGAGGTGTTAGGTCCTTGCAGCAAGGTAGGTCTGGCGAGGACTCTGATTCCGAAGCCATTCCTGCCGCACAACATTCGATAAAACGTACGCTTAGGAGTGTGTCTGCCGCTGATAGTATGGGTGTGCCGCCGCTGTTGGTGCGCAGCCGGCGGTGTCGGCGCCGCGCTGTGCCCCTCTGTACCCCTCTCTCCGTCTGCCGCAGGCCACCGTGTACCGCGGCGCGTACAACCGGTTCGCGCCGTACTAGCCGGCCGGCCGGGGAGCGAGCGCGTCCCGCCATCGAGACCTCAGCGCCCGGGGAGCGCGCCCGGGGCGCCACCTGTTGCTCAGCGTCGCCCGCGCCAGCGGCGGCCGGCCGGCACCAATACTCAGCGCCGCCGGCCGCGGCCGAGGGAGCGCGGCCGCCGCCTCAGCCGGCCTGGCGGCCGCCTCGGCCGGGGCGCCGCGCGCGCGCCTGCGTGTGCGTGTGCGTGTGCGTGTGTACATAGCCGTAGCGGAGAGTGAGCGGGAGCGGGGCTGAGCGCGTGGCCGCGGCCGCCCGGCAGCGAGGGGTCGAATCTCGAGCGTGCCGCGCCACTCAGTATTAGAGAGTGTGAGCGAGCGACGGCCGGCGGCGGCGCCGGGCCACTGGGCCGTATTTTTATGCGTGGGTGTGTGCGTGTGACAAGCGCCCGGGCGGCCGGCGTGCGCAGTGGCAGCGGCCGCCGTTTTATCTCTCGTCCGTGACAATAGCACGTGGCCGCCTGGCCTCGGTGACCGCCGTCCCGACGACCTGGCCAGGCGGCCGCGACTTTTACCTGCATTTGAGCGGTTGACCGGTTCGGTGCAGTGTTTTGCTGCGCCGGCGGGCGCAGCGGGCCTGTTTTCAGCGTTGTTTTCCTAGCCTAGCCTAGCTGTGCCGAGATCGTGCTGCACCCGATGCGATTCTGTTCCGTATTGTGCTCCGGCCTCCGCCGGCATGTCCGCAGATGACCGGCGGCCGGCGTCCGCGCGGCTCGACTCGACTCGCCGAGTCGACGCGCGCGTGAGAGCCGCCCTGATGTGTGTGCGTGTGTGTGTGCGAGAGCGAGCGGGGCGACAGGGGAACGCGAGGCGTGTGAGGAGGTGCCGTCTGGATGAAACCGTCGCACAAACGTCCTCGCGAGAGAGCGCACATAGGCGGCGCCACCAGCGCGCACGACCAGTGCCCGTGCGTGGTGCAGGCGCGCGCGACACACGTCGGCCGACTGGCGCCCGGTCCGTCGGAATCGACGCGGACGCGGTCCGGACGCCGGTCACGTGGTGCGCCTGCCGCGTGCGCGAGGCTGTCCGTGAGTGCGGTCGTGACGTCACGCGACGGTGGCGCCGCGCGCCGGCCGGTCGGCGAACCACCAGGGCATGGATGCGATCCGTACCAAATATTCGCGTACAATACTCTGCTATGATCTGACGCGCCTCGGGTTCGAATCCCGGGCAGGTCACGTTTCGTCAGCTGTCATCACTTGTGCGTGGGAGGTCATCGAGAGGGTTTGGACAATCATTGGTGCGCCGCCGCTGGACGAGGCGCGGCGTTGTCTGCGCGGGACATGGCTAAGTTTAGTTACTCTCTCTCAAGCTCTCTCTCTCTCTCTTTCCGCTCGTCTTGGGCATATTCGATGTATGCCAACTGAATCGCATCCCTATCTCCCTTTCGTCTTTGTCGTGTACAAAATATACCAAGTGTTGTAGTTAAAATGTCAATGAAATAAAGGCAGGCCGGTTGAATCTCATCGTGATGTTTACTGCGACTCTGCCGGGACGCTGCAGGCTCACCAGTGCACAAAGCACCGCCTTGGGTGACGCTTTGTGCGCTGCTCGCCTGGCTCGCGGGAGGAGCAGTCATGTGTTCCCTGACCGCTGCCCGTCACTCTACAATGGTCGTACAGCGAACTCACCACAAGAATCCACACAAACCCAGCAACAGCGTCTTGAGAGCACTTGCATTCCTATTAAAGGCGCCGAAACCGACCAGCAGGACCTCCTGGGGGTGGTGTGCGGGGGCCATACAAGCCTAAGCGCCTCGGTGTTGTTCACGTGCAGACCTACGCCCGACAGCACGACAGGGCTGGCGCCCGCGCGTGCGGGTGTGTGTCAATGCTTCACATTCCTCACGGTCCTCTAGATCCGACGTACAACGAACGGAGCGGTGGCCGACCCGGGCCAGCGGGTCTGCTCACTTGGCTCAAAGATCACAGGCCTGGAAGTGGCCAAGTCATCCAGCGCCACCTGGACCAATCCAACCAGCCGACAACTGGCCCATCCAGCGCCACCTGCACGTTTGTACCAGGTGACACCACCGTCGCCGGCGCAGGTACTGGGCTGATGATTTGCTGGCAACCTCCGGGCATGCGTGCCAGGTGGCGCCACTGTATCGGACTTCTGTCAGGCGACGCCATGCAGTCCCAGCAGCTGACAGTGTGTCGTAAAGCTCCAACAGCAACAACAAACAACACACCCTAAAAGGGAGGAACGCCGTGTCCCGTGGGGCGCCTCAGCCAGAGTGCGCTGCTAAGCATATCGTCACGTGACCGGCAAAGGCCGGGGCGCGCTGCTGTACACCGCGTCACGTGACCCGACGCGAGCGCTCCGCGGGTCGGCCGGCCGCCAGTATAGGTTGAACGGAGCGCTGTTTGTACTGGTCAGCCCTGGCGACTGTTCCCACGTATATTCGTCAGGGGACAGAGAAGCTTGTTGCAGCGCATGCCCATGGTTATTAAGGCTTGTCTTGGCACATTAGCCGTTATTTCTGAAACGACATACGAACAAGATATGCAAACACCACAAGAGTCGCGAATGCGCCGCAGGCGCGACGTTCCGCTTATGGTCGCTGCGCGAATGAGGCAAGTTTAGCTTTGATCATTGTTTGTGAACGAACGAGCCAATGTTTTGAATCGAATAAAATGTCAAACAGCAGAGGGGCATGAGTGCCATTTTATGGGTGCGTCAATCAATACGGTTCTTCAGATTATGGGGGTGTGCGATTCTTTGAAAACGATTATGTATGCAGTCCATACTTAAGGTTGATCTTGTTTACCATTAAAAGTGACTGGTATTGCCAAATGGCCTGTGTACTAGTGAACCAGTACTTCCTATGCCAACGTCGTACCCAGGGTCGCGATTTGTTTTCATTTGGCAACATGGGATAAATATTTTGTGTAAGATATTTGTCGTACATTTCTTAGTTTAGTTTTGTTGTCAACTGACTGCAGATAAATATTCGTCTTAAAACTTGTTCGGCAAGTCACTGCAATCCCGATGTTGTAAAAATGCATTAGCTAAGCGGTTGGAAGTTGGTCATGTTGATCTTAACACAATCCCATTTGTTATCCAAATATGCACTTGAACGTGCGGGTCTTAGTGACGCAAATTGTTTAAATATGGTAACCTGCTCGCCATGGGTATTCAGATGCTCCCAGGCTTTACTAAAAATTTATCCTGCAACAGTAGCATTGTAGATAATTTGGACACCGCGCTGTAGCCATGTCCCAATGACACCTGATCAACGCAAATTCGAATTCACAAAGCTGGTAGATAAATGCATATCCTTCATCCATTTACTACTTATTGGGCACCCAATTGAGACCCAGGTCGACCAAATAATATGAAGCCTACTGAGGACCAATGTCCTACCATCGCTCCGAACGGCCGCGTACTCACAGTCCCTGCGCTAGATTAACAACGGACGAGCCGCGACACGAAGCTGCTACCAAGTCGTCAGGAACATTTCCAGCCAGTGGTGACGTATTCATTGTCTTATTGGATAGCAGAGGGGCTATTTCATCGAAGATTTTGAGAGTACAGTTTTCTGCTAATGATGTTAATGGGCTCGTCATTCGATGAGAATGACGCAAAATGGGATGCGGGATGTCACCCGCCGTTTGTCCGCGCACTTGTGCTTTACCAACGAAGGTCAAACAGCATTGCAATATAACTAATGTGTGCAACAAAGACATTGCGTGGTGCCGACGATCGCAACTTTGCAAAAACCTATAAGATTAGACAAATTATCAAATTAATTAATAATATTATTGGATTGGACAAATTATCGGATTATTTATAAATATAGTGATCGGACACAACCGATTGGAAAATCAGACAACGAAGCGCATTGAGAAACCTGCCTACCTCAAGTGAATTGAAGTGTGTTGGAGACGGCCGAAAATGGAATTTCAAGCAGATGTAACCGTACTCATGCAGGCTTTACCTGTCATGTGAGTAAAAATTCTTACACCAGCGTTGTCATCAGTGTCCAGAGGTTGACCGGAAAACGCGTGTCTTTGCGCCATCAGCGTACAAATTCGTTAATACAGGCCACCAATAAGACTAGAAGAACCCTATCCCTACTTTCATCCTCGTTAAAGTTAAATTTATCATCGCTGGTGCCCGCCACGGGAATTCCGTTAGCGCGTGGCGTGTTACTACCGAAAGCGGGCCGTGATTTCCAACCTACCCTCACATTCACCTGGTCGTATTTATTCATTATCCGCTATCTCGGGATAATGGACAATGTTGGGCTTTGTCTAAAATGGTGCTTTTATCTCTCATGTCCCCAGCTCTAATCTCCTCTCTTCATGTCCACACGAGTGCCTTCAAACATCCTGAGCACCTTCAAACGACAAACGCTGAATTTCAGCTCATTCCGACGGCCGTCAGTCGTCACATACGTAATACAAAACGAGCCTGGTGTGATTTCCTGGCGTTGCAGCCTGCTGAGCACACCACACCACGGTACTGTCGACGTGGACTTCCATCCGTTGCACTGACCACGCTTCTAAGGCCGGAGGGTGCCCGTCTTTCTTCACACTTGGTTTGGAGATGACCGTGTGAAATGTTTGCGCTGAGTGGTGCGTAGATTTCTGGCCCGTCGTTTCGCGTCTAGAAACTCCGATGATGACAGTGTTAGGTTTTGTCTAAAATGGCGCGTTTTTCTCTCACCGTCAGCTGTTTCCGCCATCATCATCATGACAAAGATTGGTGAGATGGTGCTTGAGCACGCCTGTAGTAGGGTGCATACGAATGTGAACGCTGCTGCACTGTTCAGCAGTCGAAACCATGTTTGCTAGGCGTGCTCAGCTGTCGCAAATACTTGCGCTGTGGCGGCTGCAGGGATCGAACTTTGCACTGTGGCGGCTGCAGGGCTCGAACTTCCAAGATCCAGATGTCGACTGACAAACGCGCAGCGAGCCTTCGTGTTCAGAGTGACATCGTTCCGGAGCCTCTTTGAGGAACTGGTCACCTAGGGTAGTTTTGATGCTGCTTTTAAACTCAAATAGAATTACCTGAAATGACCTTGACCGATCTTTTGTTTCAAAAACGTATATGTGTTTAAGTTCGTTGCGTGCAAAGTTCTAAGAGAAGTC